ACTCAAAGTCTAAATTATAATTTACAGTTTTAATTTTCTACAATAGTCAGACTCTCAGGTGAGTTTCTGCTGTAACATACAGATGCTTCTAAAGTCTTATTTACACCCGACAGATTTGTAGTCAAATAAATGCATACCATGCTGTAAAAAAAGCATGCACCTTTATAAAAAAAAAAAACACTCGTGCATGTGTCACCAGTAGGAGACATGTGCAGACATGCTGGCCTTTACAAACACAACACTTACCAGCTGTCAAATCTAGAACAACAAGCTGACAACAAGACGAACGCCTGCAGAGTCTTTTAGACAAACCCGGTGTCTAGTTGAACAAATATCAAGGTGTAAAAGAATGGAACTGCCTTGGAATGAGTTAAAGACCTAAAATTCCTTCAGCATAACACTGAGAATCTTGTCATCCAATTCCTTTTAATTATGGGGTTCCACAAGGAACCATTCTTGGTCCAGCTTTGTTTTTTCTATAATTTGGCTTAATTTAAAATTAAAAAGATTCCATTCTACTTTACTCTGACATATCTGCTACCAAAGAAGAAAACTACCACCTCCCTGAATGCTTTGTTAGACTGTCTGAGCAACTTAAACTCATGAATGACACACAGTTTTCCACAACTTAAAAGAATTAAATGAATATATTATCCGTTTGATCCATCTGACCAGAACTCCCACAGTTATAAATTTAAAAAAAAACTGTTTTTAAAAATATCAAAGTGTTATTGTTTTTTTATGTTGTCAGCTGTTAATAATAAACTGTCATCACTTTGACATCTGGTGTCTGATTCATCTCACCAGCGAATGGTTTTGCCTCCTATTTAAGAAAGAAACTCCTCCGTGAGCACTGATCATCACTTCAAGCTGTGGTCAGTTCAGCTGACGGAAAAAGGAACAAAACCCAACCATTTTTGGGCATGTTGTATACAGAACAGTGCTTGTCAAACAGCAACTGTTGCTATTTAAACACTATGTTGTGTTGTGGCAAAAACATACTGTATATAAGAGACAGAAAGAACAAGCTTGTTAGTTTTTAACAACTTACCACACAAAAGAATGTCAAGCAAAATGTGGCAAGAATGGGACAGACCCAAAGATACAGTTTGACCTCAGATTATCAGGTCAGCTCATGTCAAACACAACTACAGTCTGGTCCTAAATGGAAGGCTGTGTCACTCAAAGAGGAGCAGAACCTGACACTGAACTGTGAGCAGATCAGTAGAGTATAAACAGAATTGTTCTGTTTCACCTGATGAAGAGCCCATCAGTAGCTTGTAACTGTTGCACATGGTGCAAAACAGTTTTCTGCCACATTCAGGAAACTCTTGAGGAAACGGAAGCCCAGATTTGTCAGCTATGAGACAAAATTTCATTATTAATGAGAATTATTAAGGATTTGGTCCAAATTACTTTTGTCAAGATTTGCACTTAATTGTGAAAATGATCACGAAATCAAACTAATGTAACTAATTGTGCTGTAATTTCCCTCTTTGCCTAATAAAGCTGAGGTAAAGTGCAGAGGACGAGCTTTGTTTTTAAAAAGTGACACTTATGACCTGTAGCTAAACAGACACGCCGTGACACAAACACACAAACACACACACACATAAACACATACACACAGCCCTGCAGGCGACTCACCTTAAGGTCTCGGTGTACCACCCCCATCTGATGGCAGTGGAGCACAGCCTCCAGGATCTGCTGGATGCAATGACTGCATGCAAACAGCAGGGGGAGTAGGTTAGTCTGAACACATTCAGCCACATCCATGCAGATGCAGCAGAACACACACACACACACACACACAC